ATGGAGATAGATTATTGATACGCAGATGTTACATGCGCAGGGCTTATCGCAGAGAGGCTCAGCAAAAGTCATGTTGCTTAGCTTACGCGGATTAATTGAGGGTCCCATATGCTATTATACAAGAGAGCACTCAATCACACATCAATATTCATTTTAATTATAGATTTACAGGTGGGGCCTAGAGGCGTCTTATACATGTATTGTGAAACGCTTATCTATAAACGTAGCTACGCTTCACGCTCCTTCTACAGATGTAAATATGTCCGATAACCCATTAAAGCCATCGTTTTATATTCACGCTCGTGGTTACTTAAAAGAACTTGAAGCGTCACACGAAGCTTTCTGAGTAGACACTGTGTGTGATGTCACAACGAAGCCAGTCCCCACTGCACTCGTGTCATGCCCCATAGCCTGCCCACCCTGCATGCGCTCACAATACATATTCCACTTAGAGGTATTTGGTTTCTCTTGATATGTTCTACCAGAAATCATCTCGCTGGTTCTGTTCTATTTGTTTTTTTTTTGAGATTACACTACAAGACAGAAAGAAAGCGGAGGGTCAGTGTATACCTAATCAGATACAAGGGCATCGTGGATGGACATCAACTACGCAGAAAAGGTGTGGTTCAAAATATGAAATTCCAAAATGGGGCCTATAAGATTGCCATTACGCGCGATAGATGAGTTGTCGGCTTTTGTCACAACAGGCTACTTAATGCGACCAGAACCATGAAATTGCTTAGCAATTCTCTCTTTATCAGCTGAATTATGATTGTGGAATGGAAGCGCAAAAAATTGTAGATACAGACGTGTTAAGGTAGTTGAGGCTGTTATATTTTGGTGGTGGAAGGTTGGGTTTGGTGTTTTGCTCTGGCATTTTAGACAAAAGTCATAGCTCGCATGTACACTCCTCCTAAAAAAATTTTCCACTTGGCTAACAGCTCTAAACTAAGCTGTGCTACACGTGAATCTTAAGTAATCAGTTTACTTGGCGGTAGCTTACATCTATTTGGATAACATGGAAAGACATGAATTTGTGCCGATCAAATGCTCTTGTCTAATTTCAACGGCAAGACAGACATTTAACAAGCATTAATTAATGCATGCGCCTCTACAATATCTTCGTCTCTTCTCTCTCATTCCCACTCTTGTTCGTCTTTCCAGTCATTCTTATCTTGAACTTCCTAAGCAATCACCTTCTCTATCGCATTGTAGTGGAGTTTACAACATTGGTTACACCACACTCGAGTACACTATCGAGTACTCCAGCTGCCACCTTCGCCAAATATATCATAGGTCACGCCATGTGTAATAATCTCGTTCTCGATCTATCATCAATATCACGGGACCAGAACCAAAAACTTGGGTAACGCAAATGTCCTCCCAGGGAGATGGAGCTGCAGAAAGAGGGCCCTGAAACGTAGCCTCCACTGAGAAATTGATGCCAACCAGTGGGGGACATCATACTGTCACATTGGAGCAACCGTGCCCACTAGGGTTTTGAACATCACTGCGCAGGAGAATCAAGGAGAAAATTGGGGTTGAATGCAAGAATTAGGCGAAAGTCGTGTCGTGTATTCTTTCACAATAACCACTGAGACAAGCTATTACACAGGTAAGACTCAAGCGGCGGGGCCTCAGTTCGCTCAGGTTTGCTCATGTCCATATATGCATTATAACAAAGAAGCCACATGTACTTTGTGGAGGCCAATGGTGATATACCTGAAACTATCAGCATATAAATGCACCAGAAAATCTCCATCTCACATCTATCTGTCTCCCTATTCTTATATTTGTCCCACTTGTAGGTTCAACTCTTCTGAAGTCTGTGTGGACAACACTGTTGTTTTGTGGTGAGGAATAATCACTCATTACCGAGTTCAAGGAATCAAAGTAACGCATAGCCAGCTTTATTCTGTTGTAGGCTGATATAAAAACATTACTTATTGTCAGGGGGAAAGTACACTTTTTGTTTGTGTAGCAGGACGAAACATTAATGGAGGTTGCAGCAGCTCGCCTCCAAACTCCCATGGACGCTAATGCCCTAGAGTCTGGAAACTAAATGGCACTCCTAAAAAAGAAGAAAGGCCACCGGAGAGGAGGAAATGTCGCTAAATCAAAGCCCAAACTGCGAGATCCCGGTGATTGTAACCGTGCTGAACCACTGAGCAGCAAGAGCTACTCAGGCAGTGTCCAAGCTGCTGAAGGGCCAGACAGGGCAGGGACAGACCACATGCGGGGAGACTGTAACACAGGAACTCAGATAGTAGCAGCACACGCCGGGGCACAAACTAATCAAGTTTCGTGTGACGTGCACAGGGCCGGTGTATAAACACAGCTTCTTCTCTAACGAGGCAGCCAGAGACTTTGGTGGAGCCGTACAAGAATTCTTCAATGGAAAGCAGACATTGACCAAGTTTGACATAGAGGTAAGGCATGCTTGTGTCAACTCAACCAGATAAGAAGCAAAAAATTGCGCTAGCCAAACAACAACTCTGCATATTCAGATAAACATCGCGACGGCATAACTAATGTTTAGAAGTTAAACGGAGTGACAAAAAAACATCTCTATAAACATTTTATGAGATAAGCTTTCTCTCATTTATGTAACTGTTTGAAAAAGGCTTTCAGCCTTGTATTAGGTTGAAGATGATGTTGTATGTTTTTTAAGTTGAGTGAAAAGGTGTAAAAATGTATCTGTGGCCCTTCTACGCTGTTTGTAGAAATCTGATCCATGGTATTTTGTTTCTTGGTAGCAGTTGCCAGGGTTGTAATCTGACGACTAAAATGAGTTGTGTTCAAGACTCATTTCAATTAAGTTCTATCATGGGCTAGCTGTCATTTAGATGCTGTTTGAATACATGTTGAAATAAACCAGTGCTTTATGCTCGATATGTTCCAGTTTACTATAGTTTTTAGTCCTAGAATATTAGGAACTGCAACTAACCATTATTTTTTCATATTTGGTTTATCCTTAGTTAGTTTCCTCAATTCAACCAAATTATTAATTTAGTCCATTTCAATCAAAAAGAATGAAAAATTACTGAAATAATTAAAACAAATCAAAATTAACGGTCTTTCAGTCATTTCAGCTGCATAAAATATTAATAATATTGACACTTGATTTCTGATCATGGTACTGTATGTTCTTGCAACTGTAGGTTTTACTAAAAATACACAATGAAGAGGTGGTGATTGGCATTGCACTCACAGAAGAGAGTCTTCACAGGAGAAACATCAGTCCACTTTGGACCCACTACACTGCGGTCTACCTTATGCTATGGCATGCTCAGTAACTCTTTTAACACTGTTTTCACAAGGTGCACCATGTGATCCTGAGCTCAGATTATCCATGTGATCCCATGTGATATACATTTTTGTCATCCGCTCATGCCTGCAAAGGGTCAGAGCGGATGTCTGTGTGCAGCGCCTCCAGATACTATATGTTCTGTAAACAACAACTGTTTGCTTGTCTGCTGTCCACTCTCCTGTCTGCGTCTGTTTTTCAAATGTAACAGGGATTTCTGAATTAGAATACTTGATAACATGTTAGTTCAAAATTATAATTGTCTGGCTGATCTTGTTTAAAAAGGCGAAGGTTTGCTGTGTTTATAGGACAAAGTTTCAGTCACAGAAAACATTTTCCTTTTGAACAACTGTCATAATAACAATTATTATGATTACCTTACAAAAGGTTACAGAAGAAAAAAGGGGCAAACAGATGAGGAAAATGAATAAATACACCCACTAAATTTCTTATTAGCAGGAACCTGAATTTACTCCATAACTTAATCATAATCGCAATGAGAGAAATATGTCTTTCTTGGTGAGTAACAAAGCAAACTTGACCAAATTACAGAGTGAGTAAAAAGATATGACTTTGGTGCACTCTGAGCAAGAATTGAGAAAGAAGACGAAGTTGGCAGTGAGGTAATCATGCTTGCCCTGACTTACTACATGTGTATCCACTATCATCACTATCGCTAGCCAAGAAAAACTTTTCTTGGTCAAACCACCGTGTTTATTTTAAGGCATAACGGAAGAGACAAATGCTCTGCTAACTAACATTTTCCATGACGATAAGCATGTGACGTGACAAGTAAGATGCAGTTTTGGATGTTTCTTTTTCAAACTCCAGTTTCTCCAAACCAATTAGGAATCCCCTCACACAGAGGTGATGCTCTGCTGTTATCTAGGATTCTCTCCTGTAGTGCCCTAATCCCTGAAGTAGGTTTTGAAATTACAGGTAAATTGACAATTGAAGACAAGGTTTGTCTCCGCAATAATTTTAGTTATCTTGTTCTGGTTTGGCTAATATTTGGATGCCTCCTTTGGATAATGACATACATTATATAGTTGTTTTAGGTGTCATCAGTATATCAGTCAAAGTATGTGCAAAATCAGTGAATGAAGTATAGAGACTTAGCAGTGGCATCAACATCTGAGTTTGTGGTGCACTTAAGTCAACATTACAAGCAGAAATGGCACTGAGGTTAAATGGGGGACAGCAGTCTGCAGAGATCATTGACCAATGGTTTATGGTTTGTCCAACCAAGGCAATTACCCTGGATACTTATGAGAAATTTCTTTAATGGTAAGTTCATGTAGACACAGTGTATTTCCTTTAGATATTCATTGAGCATATGTTCCAAAAAAAAACTTTCATGACTCATCTCTCTAGTTTACAAATCTAACAATGTTCTGCAAGTGCTAAGAATAACTCTACAATTATAAGATACAAATTATGGTGAGAACAAGTGCTGTTGAGTGTCATGTAAATGGCTGTAAGGCAGTTTTGTTTAGTAACTGAATCGTGTGTGTGTGTGTGTGTGTGTGTGTGTGTGGTGTGTGGTGTGTGTGTGTGTGTGTGTGGTGTGTGTGTGTGTGTTGGTGTGTGTGTGTGTGGTGTGTGTGGTGTGTGTGTGTGTGAGAGTCATG